AACCTTTACCTTTATTTAACCTTTACCTTTATTTAACCTTTATTTAACCTTTACCTTTATTTAACCTTTAGTTAACTTTATTAAACCTTTACCTTTATTTAACCTTTAACCTTTATTTAACCTTTATTTAACCTTTACCTTTATTTAACCTTTACCTTTATTTAACCTTTACCTTTATTTAACCTTTTTTTAACCTTTACCTTTATTTAACCTTTACCTTTATTTAACCTTTAGTTAACCTTTAACTTTATTTAACCTTTAACCTTTATTTAACCTTTATTTAACCTTTACCTTTAACCTTTACCTTTATTTAACCTTTAGTTAACCTTTACCTTTAACCTTTAGTTAACCTTTATTAAACCTTTACCTTTATTTAACCTTTACCTTTATTTAACCTTTATTTAACCTTTATTTAACCTTTACCTTTATTTAACCTTTATTTAACCAGGCTAATCCCATTGATATCACAGATCTCGTTTGCAAAGGAGGCCTGGACCTGAAGCAGACTAACATACATGTTTTTGATCTGAGTCAGCCTCCCCACCATCACAGACATCTACACCTCCAGATGCAGGAAGAGGGCCACCTGCATCATGAAGGACCCCACTCACCCAGCACACACACTTTTTGTCCCACTCCCCTCAGGAAGGAGGTTGAGGAGCATTAAGTGTAGAACCACTAGACTGAGGAACAGCTTCTACCCTGAGGCAGACTCATGAATCTCTAACCAGGAGAATCACTGTGAATAAACAAACAGTGTAATGTCACTTTAATTGTTGATATGTGACTTATCTGTGCTGCTGATTATTTTACATTATTAGTGCTTAGCGTATATCTTCGATCCTCATATACAGTTTGTGTCCCTTATACTTTATTCTTTTTTGCTAATGTTGGTGTAACTGGGACCTTGAGTACAGTTTTGTTCCACCTCATGTACCACATGTGATGAGAATGACAGGAACGTTGAATCCTTGAATGGATGGATAACAGAGTTCTCTGTTGGTGGTGATAACCTGCATTATGCAGATTTTCGTCACTTGTTCATGTTTGTTGATTTTGTAAATCCTTTTTAACCGACAGCCTTTTTGAGTTCCAGATGTGTGCGGGTCTTACATCGTCCTCATAAAATGCCATTCCACGGATCGATCCTCCAACCGCCTTCTTCACCTGAAAATACAGAAAACTGCCGTGATCATGAATACCAGCACCACCATCAGCAGCCCCTGTGAAGTTGAAACATCAAGGGAGGGATGAACAGAATAAATAGTTAATATTAGTATTTCTTGTTTGGTCTTAGCGAGTCAACTCGGTTCTTGTCATCCTGAACATGTCGTTGTTGACCTGGTGTTAACGTGCACATGACGAACAACGCCTCAAACACCAGACATGGATCACAATCACGACTGAAACCTTGTTCGTTGTGTGGAAAACGTTGAGGAAGACGCTGGTGTCTGCAGTAAAGGTCAAAGTGAGCTCACGCTGAAGAAGATCAGCTGTGGCGTCTCTTACCGGCATCGTTCTCTCCAAACAAACATTGAAGTTCTTTTTCTGGTTAAACGTCAGCTTCTTCAGGGCCACTCTCGTCTCTCCTATGAACTCATTGTGTCCAAATGTATCCTCGTCACTCACAGAAAGTCTGAGGGCAGAGGAAGCTCTACAATTGTATTTTATTGACAAATGGCACCATGTGAAAATAGTTGCAGGTACTCGGGTACCTGAGCATTTTCCGTTGCATTTCATCATCAGTGATGCCATGGTAGACCAGGGTTTCGTTCCACACGGGATTCAAGGTGGTTTTAAGGGTCTTGGTGCGAAGCTTGTTAGCCTGAGGGCCAGACGGGGAGGAAACATTTCTCAGACTAGATGACAAACTAAAGACAGAGTTCAGCCTCCATATCAATGAATGGATGAATCGTTACCTTACTGGCTCCAGGTAACAGGTGCAGTTTAACATATGGGTCTGCCAGTCCATTCGAGTCCATTGGCTTCAACCCCTGAAAGTGGAAATGTTTTAATTCAACTTGGTTTTTACGACTATACTTCAAATCTCTTGTTTCTGGAGTCTTGACGCTTCATGTCAGATGCACTGTGCTCTTCCATCGGTTTCTCTGCTTACGTCTCGTGTCTTCCTGCTCTCCAGTCAGTCAGGTTTGACTCCCTTCTTTGTTCTTAACCATTTTCTTGGTTTATCTTCTTTGTCTTGTTTTCTAAGTTCTTTAAGTCTTTGCCTTTATTTGTCTAGACCCCCATATTTTCCTTTGCTTTCACATTCAGTTTGACCTTTACTGCTAAGGACTGATTTTTCTTTACTTTCAATGACGTTCATTGACTCATGTCTTGCAGCTCTATTATTTCATTGCTTTTGCTTTTTTATAAGCACTGTGGTTTTGTTGGGGTTTTAATTGTGCAATCTTAAGGAAGCCAGTTTGAGCCCAGGTTCATTCAGAAAGAGCATCCGGAGCAAAACGGCTGCCACACCTTTGTGAGTTTGCTCTCTGGAGTTCTTCCTGACCCTCTCCGTTCTTCTCCATCAGCATCCTCAAAGCAAAGATGGATCTGTGGAGCTCTTTCTCAGCATGAAACCATCCTGCTGCTCACAGTCACCTCTCGTCGAAGTCTTGCTTCCACAACTCTCTCCCAGATCTTCATTGTGTGACTCAACTTAATTCCCCTGTAGCTGCTACAACTCTGTACATCACCCTGTCTGACACCCTTTTCACCTCTACTACATTCTTTGTCAACTCCTCCTTCAGGACCACCCCTACTCCATTCCTCTTTCTATCCACACCATGGTAAAACAGTTTGAACCCTGCTCCAATGCTGCGAGCCTTGCTGCCCTTCCACTTGGTCTCTTGGACACATAAAACATCTACCTTCCTTCTCAGCATCATGTCAGCTCTCTACCTTCCTTCTCAGCATCATGTCAGCTCTCTACCTTCCTTCTCAGCATCATGTCAGCCAGCTCTCTACCTTTACCTGTCATTGTCCCCACATTTAGAGTTGCAACCCTCAGTCCTACATTCTTCCTCTCCTCCCTCTGTCTCCTGACATGTTTCCCTCCTCGTGATCTTCAACTAACAGTAGAACAATCTCCACCGGCGCCCTGTTTGTCAACAGCACCGACGGCGGTCGTTGTTAACTTGGGTATCGACTGATCCTGTATTGACTTTGTTTAATTTATTTAATAAAACAATTATTTTTGCTCAAGCTCCTCATGTCTGTGTGCATCTGGGTCCAACCATACACCGAGCATGAGAAGCTCTTAAGTTTTTTGGTTCTTCAGCTACAGTAGTTGAAGGCCCCAATATTTTCACACAAAACAAGTTGAAGGACAAAATAATTTATTTACAAATCTAATTTATCTAATGAGTCATTGATGGAGTTATGAATGAATAATTCACATTATCATTCATAAAAGGCTGGGTGGACTAAAATATGACTTCATGCTCGGCTTCAATTAAAATGTGTGAGAGGGAAAGATAAATATTGATTAATGTAGTAAAATATCAGAAATGATGGTCGTGAAAAGTTGGATTATTATTCCTAAACAAATTGATCAAACTAGTTTATGAACAGTCTCAGCTCCATGAGAGTCTCGTGTTTTCATGATAACGTGACTCCATCACCATGTTGAGTCCAGTTCATGTGTTCACCTGAGCTTTAACGACGCAGCAGATCAGAGTTCATGTGTTCACCTGAGCTTTAACGACGCAGCAGATCAGAGTTCATGTGTTCAC